ACCAAATTCGTCAGTGCATTGCAATATCTGTTCTTCTATGGTCGGTGGTCTATGCTTCGCATCTAATTCGGTCGACGGATTGCGGGTTTTGAAGGGGCTAGTATGTGGTGTCGATGCTTGAATGGGGTTTTTGTTCTATCATATCTCTCCTTTCCGGGAACTTTGTTGTCTATGCGGAGTATCGCTGTTAATGCTGTCGGGTCTTCTTTTCAATAGGTGTGTCGAGAGGCTTCGGCTTTATCGAATTCGCTTCCACGCAGGAAGCCATTCATTGGATGGATGCTCAAAAAGTGAATCTCTTTCAATGTGCCGAAGTCGACTTCGTATCAATGAGTCCATTTGTTATATTATTCACATTTCGTAGTACTAATTCAAGGTCCTCAGATAGCGACTCAGTAAAAAATGTTATATTCTTTCTTCCATCCTCTATTTTAGGGACTGCTGCACGTTCACCGGCATACCATGCGTCTCAATTTCAGCTCTCCGCGAAATCAGCCAGACCCTAGTAGAAATGAGCCTAATCATCGCGATTCTCGCTTTGGCAGCGGCCACAATTTTACTCCCGAATCTCTCGCTTCGGGTGATTGGAAGTGCTTCAGGGTGGGTGTCCGCTTCTACCTTCATATTCTGACTCATTTGTCGGTGCGCCAGGGCTGTCGACGTTGTCCTATTCTCAATAGCGTTGTGTGTGCGCCTTGGCACTACTGGAGTTTGTCATAGAGCATTGCGGTAACTGAGTCTTGCGCTGATTTTGGTTAATACTGCTTTAGTGTTCGAGTCACAACTTCAAGCGCCGCGAATTCTGCTTCCGCTGCCAGCATCCGCGTTCTCAAGCTCAGCCAGATGCGAGTACATACACCTCTGACGGATCCGATCTCGTTGGAACGACTCCATGCAACAGTAAATCGGAATTGTCGATTTTTTACAACTATGTCTTTTCATAGGTGTTGCATTTTAATGGATTTATCATTTTAAGCTGGGCTATTTCTTAAGATATTTGTGTTGAAATAAGTTTATTGCGGTTTTTTAGCTTTGGTTTTGCGTTGTTTGGATGCATTTACTACGGAATCTAGCATCCAGGCTGCCTTCATCGACCAACACAATGTACAAATCAAAAGATGCTACGTCTTGCGTGATAGAAATACAAATATTTCACGTTGCTTTGCTGTTGCGGAGTTACCGACTGTTGCCGATGCTTACAAGGTGGTGGATACGATTGTGAAAGAGCACAAAATTTTTGAAATCGAGGGCAAAGCCATTGCCATTAATTACGCCAAGAACAATTTCAAGTAAGTTATTGTCGGTCACTATAGCTTGAAAATGTTTTGATTAGGTGAGTTAATTTGACAACATCTGTATAGGCCTGTGGTTTTGTTTGCCAATTTTTATGTTTAATTAATGCTTAAATCTAATCACTTTTTCAGCACAATTATGACTACAATGAAAATGGAAGGTGCCTTGAATGAGCATGTACTTGCAAGTCATACTCAATCGAGTCCTTCGGTGCCTAATATTATTGGGTATAATTCGTTTGCCACGGGGCAGATCTCAGTGGCGCCACCGCCTTTGTCCACTTCTGGCGTTGCGGTTGCACAAGCGGCGATACAGATGAAGCAGACGGAGGCGCGCCTTGCCTCGATTGTTGCACAGTCGGTGCACCATCCCCAGGGCCTCCTTGGTTATCCTCCTCAACAGGGTGGCTCTGCTGTTCGCCCACAGACTTTCCCCAATACTTTGGCTAGTTTTCCTGCTCCGACAATGCCTTTCAGCGCCTCAACGGCTGCAAACACAGAATATCGTAAATGCGTTCGCCCAACCACCCATCAAAGCTTCTTATCTCCAGACATTTTTCATGCAGCACAACCTTTTTTATACCTTTTCATAAACCTCTAGCTTATTCACATTGTGATTAATGAAAGCGTATTTTTGTTTTCATAGCGTTTCCTGACACGACCAAGTTTCTTTACGACGAAACAATCCGTTATTACTATGACCCACTAACTGGTTTGTTATACGAACCCAACACCCGCTATTTCTTTGATCGAGCTACTCAACAATATTACCACTACGATGCCTCACGGAGTCTTTACGTTCCCGCCTCACAAGTCGTCAACCAGCATAATCAAAGCGAATCTGCTAAAACTGTCGAGGAACCGATCAAGAAAAAAGAAAAGAAAGATAAGGAGAAAACGGCTCAGAAAATTGCCAAGGAGATGGAAAAGTGGGCTAAACGTATGAATTCACAGAAGGAAGCCCCTGTTACGGTTCCCAAGGTTGAGCAGGCCACTGTGAGTACTATCCTCTATCAACCCCTTGTTTATTTGATTTACCTTGGACCTTTGAGTTTAATAACTTGATGTACTCTTAACGCACTTCTGCTCTGGGCATTTGCTTTTATATGCATTGAGCAGCCTGAAAATTGCAAAACTGCTGACACGGGCTATGCGATACTTCAAGCGGCAACCAACGCGTCCGTTTTGAGCAGCTCACCGGCTACTGCAGGTCTGGTAGCCCAATATGGCGGTGAAGACAGTGAGGAAGATGAGGTCACCCAACTCGATGAAAAAGAACTGGAAACTCAAGTGACGGCTGAAGAATCGAAGTAAGGTTTATTTCTAGCTCTAATGATGATATTGGCTCAAACGATTGGTCAGTATGCCGCAGGAAACTACTCGCTAACACACAGTCTTGGAAACATAAACGAAAGATAATGTGTTACGTTCGACCTAATTGGTTATGCTTCAGGCTCATGGATTGGACAAAATTGGCTTGTCTGTTGTGTTCTCGTGGATTCAAAGATGTGGAGACAATGCAGAAGCATCGCGTTTTTTCCAATCTTCATCTTCAGAACCTAAACAAACTTCGCTCTAAGTATGGTCTCAGAGAGTTATCAGCCCTGCCTGCGCAACAACAACAGCAATTGCAGAAGCTCGACACACAAACACATGCTGAAGCAATCGAATCGCTAATGCAATTGGGTGCCGCTGCGGCTAGTAGCCATGCAAGGGATGTAGCAGCTAGTAGACACCAATCAAACTCTCTCGGTGCAAATCCATCTCCGCCTTATAGTTCTATCTCCGGTGGGCGTTACCGAGACAGAGCAAAGGAGAGGCGAGAGAAATTTGGCACCGTACCACCATCAAGATTCGATCAGCAAGACGCTTCGGTGACAGTTCCTCCTCCTCATCCTCCTGTAGATACAGCACCTGCCATGGCCTCCGCATCGCCTACAACGAATAATGGTAGGGTACGAAATCTGCTTGATGAGATGGTCTCCAGGATAACTAAATTCCTTCTATGCTTAAGGTCCTTTCCCGTTCAATCTCACCTAGCAGTTCGTCTGATTGCACTCGCATGAGATTTTTTAACTGTTTAGGTACAGTTGGTGGTAACGTTGGCAGCCGTTTAATGGAGAAAATGGGCTGGCAGGCGGGACAGGGGCTGGGAAAATCAAATCAGGGTCGAACGCAATTGGTTGAACCAGAATTTCGCGAGATCGGGGTTGGTTTAGGAGTCAAAGTCTCTAAGCGTCTCCCACCGGCGGATAACTATAAAGACAATGTGAAGCGTGCCATGTATGCTCGTTATCACGAACTAGGGTGAGAGTTGGCATGCTCCACCCAATTAGTCGTCCTTGGCGTCCATGTACAGTATAAATAAAGCATTTGAATTGTTTCTCTAACAGCGTTGTGTAATATTGGTGGAGAAGTCTAGTTCTCAACGTTGACAAACTATGCATCAAATGAGACTTGCAACACGAACTAGTGGAGGCTGATACTCTGCTGTGGCCATCGGGATGAGGGTTGTGAAGGGCGACATCGCAATAGCTATTTGTATCGGGTTGACTTGGTTATCCTGACCAGGTTGGCAACATGAACGGCGACCGAAATGGACGCAGGAGACTAAATTTCATCTTTGGACAGCATTGGTAGTCGGAGTCTGGTTTTTATTCAAAACAAACAAAACCAGGTTGTGGGCGATCTTGCATGACCAAAGGTGGCAAAAATACAAGGAATGGTTTCATCAGGATTGTGAGTGAAAGCTGACCTCGTCAGCAAGTAGCCGACCTGATGTGCTTTCCGCCACTTGCTTATGGGCAATGTAGAGAAAGAAAGCGCTGCATACAGTGCTGACCAGGAATATGACGTCGAACCACCTATGATAGAAATGGAATTGGAGATCTCCCAAGATCTGGGTGAGGATCGTTCTGTACACCGCCGTCATGTTCATCCTCAAGAGCACCACGGAGGAGAGGAAGTAGGTACCCATGATGTGAGCAATGAGAAGCACGATGACATTGGACGACTTGGTGCTTGCGATTGCATAAAAAAATTTGGTGAGTGTGAGCAAGAGCCCGCGAATGGAGGTCACCACAATGACTCCGACAAGCCAGAAGGAGATTTGTTGCGACCAAAAGGGAACATCAACAGTGAACCCCAAGTAATGCACAGCTATGTCAATCCCACGCGTAATGGGGTCTTGCAGACCGACACGATTGAACAAGATATTAATTACGCTGACAATAATTTTCCACACACAATATCCGCAGAAGAAGTACCCAAGACAGTTAAAATATTGACCCTTGAGTGTACGCGAATATTGTATCCGCTCTTCAGCACAGCGAAGTTGGTGCAATTCCAAGAAAATGTGACGACCTACCTCTTCAAGACTTGCAATCTATGCCGATAAGGCAAAATATGCATCAGTTTTTAATTAACTTAAAAATAAAAAAATGAATCAAACTGACCTCATCTCGCAGCGTTTGAGCACTGACATTATTACCACCAAGTCTATTTCCAACTGCGTGTATAACTCCCCAGAATCCATTGTCGTTAAATGCCGACTATACAAAGGATTGAAACGTTAAGAGGCAATTTTATGCACAACATCGACAGTGTGAAAAAGAATTAGAGTATCATGTGCTACTTCACAAACGGTATAGTAGTATGATTATACTGAAAATAACCAGAAAGGCAAATAATAATTTATTCCCGAAAATCTATGAGAAGTATGCCGAATGACAATGAGTAAAAGGTAAAAAAAGCATACTTTCCTCTCCAACTCCACAAGACGAAGGCGGCGTTTTTTGGCGAGAAGCATGTTAAGTGTTTGCATAAGACGCCTTTCGCCCGTATCAATATCCACTCGAGAGACAGGATGAACAAAGAGACTCATACATGTATACGGATAATTGACAGCACCGAACCCGGAAAGGACCGCCATTATGGTGACACCTATGACACCAACCCTACCAATACAAGGCTCAAAAGAGAAAAATGAGTGACGTGGACTGGATATAGGGAACGAAATCCCAAGCCTCCAAAAGAGGTACGCGTAAAAGACGAAGAGCAATAGAGAACTACCTAACCTTACTTTTAAATTATTTGGAAGAAATCCAAATATTGTAGTTACATAAAAGGATATAAGATAAGGTAAAACCACAATAACATCGAAGAGGGTGATGACTAAAACGAACTGCCAGTGAAGCCTTCGGGAAGAGGATTCCAAAATATCGAGAATTTCGAAAGTTACAAGTTCAAACATAAGACATGACAAAGAAAAGGTGAAAGAAAACACAACTACAACAGTCAATTGACGAACTTCGTAATCTTTAAACAATTTACGAAGAAAGAAAACCCAGCCACCCAAGAAGAAAAGGAGTTGAGAAAGCACGATTATGAATGTATCGATGACAAAACCCATGCGCAGAGGATTGCTTCGATTGGTTATGTTAAAATTTCATCCCTTAATACGTAGTTGCATAAAATTGCTGTGAATTACGTAATTAATATAGGGAGATAACACAAAGAACTAAGAGTCTTTCGCAAAAGCAGGAAAATTCATTTATCTTGTTAATTGTTTTTTT